ACTACTACTACGACTACGACTACTACTACGACTACGACTACGACTACGACTACGACTACAACTACGACTACGACTACGACTACGACTGCTACTACTACTATTAATACTACTACTACTACTACTACTACTACTACTACTACTACTACTACTACTACTACGATTAGTAGTAATAGTAGTAGTAATAAAAATAGTAGTACTAGTAGTAGTCGCCGTAGTCGAAGTCGTAGTCGTAGGAGGAGTCGTAGTGAAAGCAATAGTAGTAGCAGCAGCAGTAGCAGAAGTACGACTAGTAGTGGTAGCAGTAGCACTAGCAGTAGCCGTAGCAGTAGTAGTAGTAGTAGTAGTAGTAGTAGTAGTAGAAATTTGCCCGAAGCCTTTGGTAAAGCCCCCTGTGGGGCCACGAAGCATATGAGGGGTACGCCGAAATCGTTGCTTTGTTGCTCTGTTGCTGGGGGGACTCTAATTAGGTTGTCTGTCGCGTCGTTCCTCTGTCGTCTGTTGCTCTGTTGCTGGGGGGGGGGTTGTGGTTATGTTGCTCTGTTGCTGGGTGGGAGGCTCTGTTGCGCTGTTGCTGTGTTGCTGTGTTGCTGGGGGGGGCTCAGCCACGAGGCACCAGTGACTGTTTTCGTGAATAACAACAACAACAACAAAACTCCTCCTCCTTCTTCCATCCTCCCACTACTCGTCCCTCCTCCCAGCAGTCATGAGCATGGGCCCTATTCGGCTTGCTTCCTAGTGTCCTCCTCCTCCCCCTTATACCTTCCTACACGACAGCAAAAAGAAAGGGGGGAGGAGGAGGGGGAGGAGGAGGAGGAGGAGGAGGGAGGACAGGGACGACGAGAACGACGAAGAGGAGGAGGAAGTACTTCTAAGTGTTTCTAGTTATGTGTGGCTGGGCCCCCCTCCGCGGGGACGGCGCCAGGATGGAGCATCTCGTCCTCAGAAATCCGCTGAGACGGACCGAACTCTGCAGCTGCATCTGGGGACTTCTTTTAGTCAGCGGCCGCAGGCGAGCGCGCCAACGGCGAGTCCAGTCAGAGCGGGGCGCGCAAAGACGAATTAACCTAAAGCGGTGGGCCGGAGCCTCACGCAACACCTCAGCGGCCCGGCCAGCGAGTGGGAGAAGGCTGGCGGTAAACTGATGCATCTGGGGACGAGAAGCTGTGGAAAAGGGCGCGACCGCCCAGGCATCCAATTCTGGCACCGCGGTGCCGTATAAGGCTCTGGCGGCCGAATCACCCTCCGCTCGGCGGTGGACAAACCTCCCTTTAGCAAACCTCCCTTTCGTGAGAACGGCCCAGGACCGAGACCGACGGACCTGGACCCGCAAGAACGACGGCCGCGACGCCCTCTCGCGAACCGAAAACGGCCAATTCGCTGATCGACGCGTCAGGATAGGAGGTCTATCAGCCTACGATTCACTGCCTCCTGCCCCCACGCGCCCGGGTCCGTGCCCTGGGAGGTGAAGGAGGACAGCCCGGCCGTCCACGCGGCCTCGACGGCGGCCTTATTGATTCGTCATCGTACAGTCTGTCATGCTGCACGACGCTTTTTCTAAGCTTGACCGTCGGCGCGAACCCTAACCTGGACAGATTGAACGCAGATGGTACCGCTCTCATCTATGCGAGCTCGCAGAACTCACAATGCATGCTGGAAGCCATTGTAACGGAAGGGCAAAAATACGGCCTCGAGCTGAATAGAGACAAGACTGCGCAAGTTCGAATATCAACAAATCAGGTCGACAAGGATCTCGACGGGTCGGCGATCAAGATCGTGACCGAAGCTGCTTACCTCGGGGGAATGACCACTCACGACGGGCGTATTGGAAGCGAACTTTCACGACGACTTGGAGAAGCCACTTCTATGCTTCAATCATTAGGTAAGGTGTGGAAGCACTCTGCCATCGGAAAGAGGCGGCAGCTTCACATGTATTCCAGTCCACATGTGTGTTCAGCAAGCTCCCGTATTCGCTGGACTCGTTGTGGGTCCTGCAAAAGGACAAGGCCAAATTGGACGCCTTCCACTGCAAGAACTTGCGGAAAATCCTACCGGATTTCGAACGCCGACGTGCTAGATCGAGAAGGTTCCAAGCCTTTGTCGGCAACCCTGAGTGACCGACAAGCTGCCTTACATAACAAAACCGCTTCTCACAGCGACGGCTCACCAGTCGAACGATGAAGCGATGCCGATGGCGTCCTCAAAAGTTGGGCCTGCCGCAGACGCCGGCGGCGCCTGAGACAGCAGTGGGCGACGCCAGTCTTCAGTTTGGGGCGCACGCCTTAGCAGTTGTCTCTGAAGGGGCCCCAGGACACACAAATAAATACACACAAATGAACAGATTCCCCATATGTTCTTATATTTTCTGGGTTTTGTCTTCCCCCCCACTTCCTATATTTTCCCATATTTTCTTAGGAATCGACGATTAATTGTGTCTGTGTGCTTTTTTCCCTCCTGAGTCTCCTGCCTTGCGCGTGAACGTTGCACGCCCTCGGGCTGCCCGATCTTGGACGTGAGCCCCCTAAACCATACGAACCAGGGCGTGTTCTGCTTCACCCTCTGCCTGCGTAGGTACCCAGACTTCCTCGCGCGGTGAAAAAATCGCGACGGGAGGTTTTTCGCTATTTTCGGCCTCCGGGGGGCCTTCCCGGGCCTCGGGACCGTCAAAAAACGACTCAGGATGAAGAACCGGTCCCGGGGAAGGGGTCCAGACCTCACCTCTGGGGGTCGACGTTGCGAAAAAATCATGACGTAGGGATCTGGGTATACACATCCAAGCCGAACTGTTTGACGTATCTTTGCCCGAGCGTCTGTGAGGGATGCAAGGCTACAGACAGGCAGAGCGGTACAAGCGCCCCGCGAGACGCCAAGGAGGAAACAGACTCTGGTTCTGCACCGCCCGCATTGAGGACAGCGCTGACGTCGTCGACAAGACCAGAACTGAGGCAACCTCCTCGAAAGCAGGCCTGGTCGAAGTGATTCAACGGATCAGTGGCAAGCCTGCTGGGGAGCCTTCGTTACGGCACGAGGAAGGCAGGAGCCACCGGTAATGGCAGACGTGTTCCGAAAAGCCTGATGCCGAGGAGGATCCGCAGCATGAAATAAAGTGGCTGCGGACCGGTCGTGCGGGAGACGCGGAGAACGAGGACGAGGATAAAACGTAGGGGGTCCAGCTGCCGCCCAACAGGACGCGGCATGGCAAAGTTGCGTGACCTCAGGGCGATAGCCCTGCAGAGTCATGCGCAGCAAGACGCAAAAAAACGTTGCTGGGGCAGCCTGCGGCGGCCAGGGCAAGGGAGCAACGGACGCCCGCTTGTGGCTGTGCGTGGTTGTCACGTGGCTGTCCCGTGGTTATCCCGTGGTTGATGGGCCTGTTTTCCACCACCACCACCATAAGTTGGAGGGGGAGGGGGTCCTCCTCCCCCTCTTCTTATTCCTCCTCCTCATCGTCCTCCACCTCCTTCCCCCCCCCCAACTTATGGTGATGGTGGTGGTGGAAAACAGGCCCATCAATGGTTGTACAGTGGTTGTCCCGTGGAAAGCCGTGGAAGCCCGTGATTGTGCCGTGGTTGTCCAGCGATGACGCGGCGGTCCCGTTCTATGCAGCCCATCGGGGATGGTGCGCGGCTCCCAGGGTGCTCCGGGCGCGACTACATCGGGAGTCGTGCCCCGTGTGGGGGCTGCTCGTCGTCACGGCGGGACTCCTCTCGGAGCTGGCCCTGGAGGGCCAGGAGAGCCTGGGGCTCTGCTTGCCTCACGCGCCTTCCCCTGCAGGCAGCGCTCGCACTCACGGGCGCTCCCTCCTCGTCATGGTCGATCAATCGATCAATCAATCGATCAGTCAATCTCGTCCTCCCTCCTCCTCCTCCTCCTCCTCCTCTTCTTCTTATTATTCTTCTTCTTATTATTATTATTCTTCTTATTAGTATTATTATTCTTGTTATTATTCTTATTCTTCTTATTCTTATTATTATTCTTATTCTTATTATTATTCCTATTCTTCTTATTATTAATATTAGTATTGTTCTGATTAGTATTAATATTTTTCTGTTTCGTCTTATTATTATGCTTCTTATTATTATTATTATTATTATTATTATTCGTATTATTCTTATTATTCTTCTTCTTACTATAATTATTAGTCTTCTTCTTAGTATTATTATTATTATTCGTATTCCTCTTCCTCTTCCTCTTCCTCTTCCTCTTATTAATCGCCTGCTTCTTCTTAGTATTATTATTATTATTCTTCTTATTAGTATTATTCTTCTTCTTCTTCTTCGTCTTCGTCCTCCTCCTCCTTCTCCTCCTCCTCCTCCTCCTCCTCCTCCTCCTCCTCCTCCTCCTCCTCCTCGTCGCGCTTCCCAGGGAGAAGCACGGGTCGGTCCAGGGTTCTGCTCTGCCCGGTGGCCGCCCGTGGGCGCCCCGTGCGCGGGGGGCGGGCTCCCGCGGGGGCCTGGCGTGGCACGTCCGCCACCGCGTCGCTGCACGGGAGGGGGGGCGTCGGAGAGCGCTCGCTCGCTGCCTGGGGAGGTTTTTTGGTCGTGTGTTTCTGTTCTGCGCCACTCGTCCTGCTCATGCACCTCTGACGTGCACGGCGTCTTCTTCTTACTGTTTTGATGTTTCTTCTTATTATTCTTCTTTCTAGGGCCCCCTGGGGGTCTGAAGTTGCTCGTCTGGGAGGGTTGTGACACACACACACACACACACACACACACTCACTGTAGTATGGAATCTGGGGTACGCCTTCCTGCCACAGGTCATTCGGTGCTTAAGCGACTGCTGCTGTTTCTCGACTCGCGCTGGAGTTTCCACGGTTTGCTCCAGATTTTCCTGGGGATCTCTGGAATTACCTCGGCTTACCTGGGCATGCCTGGATACATGTGGATCCACCTCGATTTATCTGGCCTGATCCCCGCAAGACACTTCGGAAGGAAAAGGTCAAGCCTGTGAGGAACTGGCTGGGAGGGGCTGGACAGGGCAAGGGAGGGGGATGCACGCCCCGC